TGTGTAACTGATCCATGATGGAACTTGGTCTTTTCTCCTTTACCCTAAGGCATATTATTTTTCCATTTGATTCCTTTTTGTTTTCACTGCTTACAAGATTATTCGTGCTTCTGTTATTCCTGTACTCACATCTCTCTGAGCTGCCAAACTTCTTTCAGTTGATCCATTAAGCTCGTTTTTCCTTCGTAAGAGATTTCGATTGATCTCTTTGTTTTCCCAGATCACATGATTTGGCACTGAATTTCATATTATATTTTTATTATTTTTTTCTTATTTCCCTAACTGGTTATTCTATTCTTGCAAAAGGGTTGTTCTTTAATAAATTGTATGTCCACGTAATATATAAAACAAGGTATTTGACAAGGTGGGAGAAGAGCATATTTGGATTCTCATTTGGAACTTATTAACATTCTTGAAGCCAAAATACTATGAAATATGTCTTAATATCTCTCAGAGTTTGCCATATGATTAATTCAAATTATAGTGCAGGATGTGCATGTGTGTGTGTGTATGTGTGTGTGTGTGTGTGTGTGTGTGTGTGTGTGACTTTATAGTAGAAAGAATGTCAGTTGTGTCACTGTCACTGTCACTGTCCTCCCATTGTTCATCGATTTGCTTGAGTGGGCCCAGTAACGTCTCCATTGGAGACTTTGTTGTTACTGTGTTTGGCATATATAATATGTCATGGGTAGCTTGCCAGGCTCTGCTGTGCGGGTGAGATACTCTCGGTTATGTCAAATACTTTTTTTTCAGTCTACATACTTATCTTCCATCTTCTTTCATGATGGAAGATAAGCTTATTTTCTAGTTTTTACAATTCTGGAAGTCCCTCTAATAAAGAAGAAGTGACATGGGAAAGAGATAGTATCATTTATCAAGTATGTTCCTGCACATAGGGTCCTTTACTTTCTCACATACTAGCGTCTTTTATCAAATTTTGTTTTCTAATGGTCATCTAAGATGAGATGTGAATTATGGTGTGAATGTTTGAAAAGTATGGGGTTTCTTATACTTTATTAGATTTTATTTAACAATAATGTTTTATTTTAATAATAATTTAATAATAGCATGTTCACATATTTTCTATACCTATTGCCTATGTACTACCAGTTTGGCTTGCTAGCCTATGTATGGTCACTGTCACTGTCCTCTTGTTGTTCATCAATTTGCTCAAGCAGGCCTGGTAACTTTGTGAGACTTGTTACTGTGTTTGGCATATCAAATACGCCATGGGTAACTTGCCACGCTTTGTATTATAACTAAAAAATGATTAGCAAAACAAATATTTATATTTGTTTATTTGGTTTTCTTTCAGGTACAGTCGAAGTTTTCTTTTATGGTTCTTCATAGAGTGATTTAGGGACCTGATCATGATCTTATATTGTATTCCCAAAAAAAACTTCACCTACTCCATTCCTATTAAAACTTCATATACTAGGGGTCAGAGAGGGATACAGGAGTCAGTCACTCGCCTTGTATGTGGCCAGCCCTACTTCATTCCCCAGCACCATGTCGTCCCCCAAACACCACCAAGAGTGACCTGTGAGCCCTGAGTTAGACTTGAATACCACCATCCCTGGTCTCCAAATTAAAAAAAAATTATATAATCAGTTACTCAATAATTAAAATGCCATGTGTTCTCAATTTCTCTATTTATACATGCCTGTCAGGTATTTTTCCTCCCAGTTTCTGCCACCATGCAGACTTTTTTCATTGTATGTATCTTTTCATTGCTAAGTGATCATTGTAACAGAGACTAAGAACCTGAAACAGAATGTTCTAAGAAGCTTGGGTATCTAAATGTCAAAAGAGAATTTGTACTGTGAGAAAATTTAGACAAAATTATTGATTTTTATTCCAATTCAGAATAATATCTAACACTATCTAGTCAGTGACACAGTTGAAGTATTTAATAAATGACTGAATACAATACTCTCCTTAGCTTTGTCTTCACTGTAAAGATCATTTTTAAAATTTAAAATTTTTGATAGCACAGCGGTAGGGCGTTCGCCTTACAAGCGGCCAACATGGCCCACCCGAGTTCGATTCCTCTGCCCCTCTCGGAGAGCCCGGCAAGCTACCGAGAGTATTCGATATGCCAGACACAGTAACAACAAAGTCTCCAATGGAGACGTTACTGGGCCCGCTCGAGCAAATCGACGATCAATGGGAGGGCCTTTACCTTTACCTTTACCTTTTCCTTGAATCACTGTGAGATAAACTCTTACAAAGCTGTTCATTATTAGATTTCAGTCATAGGGCTGGAGCGATAGCACAGTGGTAGGGCGTTCGCCTTACAAGCGGCCAACATGGCCGACCTGAGTTCGATTCCTCCGCCCCTCTCGGAGAGCCCGGCAAGCTACCGAGAGTATTCGATATGCCAAACACGGTAACAACAAAGTCTCCAATGGAGACGTTACTGGGCCCGCTCGAGCAAATCGACGATCAACGGGAGGGCCTTTACCTAGTATTCCAACACCCATCCCTCCACCAGTGTACATTTCCCAGCACCAGTGTCCCCAGGTTCCCTCCCATCATTCCCACCCCCTACCCTCTTGTAAAGATCATTTTTTATTAATTTTTACCTACTTAAAAATATTCGCTATATTTTCAGATTTCATATCATATTTGCAATGAATGTTTTAAAACAAAGATGTGAACTGTATTTTAGCACTAAATATTGGAGCTGGAATATTTTCCAAACTCAGAAACTTACCACCATCTCTCTTTTTAAAAGTGATATGAGAACTTTCGTGATTTAAGTGGAAACTTAGTGAAACCATCAAATATGTAACTGCCAAGATTGTAGAAAAAGATGATAAAGTGATGAAAGATATTTACTAAATTAAACTCAGTTTAGTGGCAATGTATGGAGTTATCTGTATGGTCATTCCACTTCTTTTAATATCGTAGCCTCAGAGATAGTGCCAGTGAAAGGGCAACAAAGCTAAAGAAAGGTAAACAAAGGTAAATTGTGAACAAAGGAGAACAAATTATGTTTGTTCTTTAATACTTTTAGTGATTCTGAGCAAAGTTTTATTTGGATGACCCTTCCAAGTGGTTGTTTTTCTAGAATAGATAATAGGGTTCACAAAATATGTAAAATAGACACTCTACATTCAAATCTTGATGATCTACAAATCATTTATTCATAGAGTAAAAACATTTCATGAGATCAGTTTATTTGCTATTCATTTATTCGATACTATTTTCCTCCCTTTGGAAGAGTCCATAATGCAAACTCAACACTTTGTTTAGTTAAAAAATGGTAACCTATTTCTAGCAGTTTTAACCTCTTTTACATTGTATAGCTATCTTTCATGAAGAATGTTTAAGGCTAGTTATCTCCATTAATGTGAGATTAGTGAAGAGCTATGGTTAACGTCAATGATGGACTTTCTGCATTTTTGAAAAGAGCTATCTTGTTAACTGTACAGGGATGAGCTTAATTGTTATATTGTGAATGAAGGACTGAAGTTTTCTGTGTATTTTAAGAAAATAAAAGGTTATCTTTCTTGGGGGCTGGAGCTATTGCAAAGCGGGTAGGGCCTTTGCCTTGCACGCGGCCAACCCGGGTTCAATTCCCAGCATCCCATATGGTCCCGCAAGCACTGCCAGGAGTGATTCCTGAGTACATGAGCCAGGAGTAGGAGTAACCCCTGTGTATTGCCGGCTGTGACCCAAAAAAGAAAAAAAAAGAGGTTATCTTTCTTTTAAGGCCTCAAAAATTAAATTGAATGCTTCTATCCAGTTTCCATAAACATAATATGAGTTTTTTATGATGATTTCGGATCAAAGTATTAATCTTCATCAATATTCAACCTAATCTAAGATGGGACCGTTAAGTTTAAAACATTTTCCTTTTAACTGTACTGCTAGTTTTGTCTCTTTTCTTTTGCTCTTCTGGGGTGAGACTAAGCAATGAGTAATATCTGCTACTTTAATGTTAAATATGGAAATGTATTTGGGGGGAATTAATTCTATCATCATATACATTTTATTATACCTTAAAAATCTTTGATCTTGGTTAGCGAGTGAATTACAGCTGTATTTCCATTTGATGCCTTTTAAATATTTTCACCAAAAGTGTTACTATTAAATTATTTTTCACAGGGAAAGTTCGCTTTATTCCATATGTAACCTTTTGACTTAAAATTATAAATTTTAGTTTCACTATCTGATAGGAACTAAGTATGATGCTGATTCTGAATTTTCAACATCTTTCCAAACTTGTGGAGAACTGAAAACAAGAATCAATTATATGTCTGTTGTAGATTACAAAAAAGATTAGGGTGATGGGGCCAGAGTGATTGCACAGCAGGTAGGGCTCTTGCTTTGAATTTTGGCCAACTAGGGTTTGATCCCTAACACTCCGCATGGTCCCTGGTGCACCACCAGGAGTATATTATTGAGTTTAGAGCCAGGAGTAACCCCTGAGTATTGCCAGATGTGGCCCCAAAACAAAAAAAGATTTGGGTGAAATTTGGGATTTACGTTCCTCATCTCAAATTAGCCCTTTTAATATACAGTCTCTAAATTACTTGGGAAATAAATTATTTGGGAAATCTTTGGGAAGATAAGGGATATTAAGTATTTAAAACACTATATGTTTCTATCACTTATTTTAGTTATTAGCATTTTAAAATTTACAAAAAGATTGTTGTCAAAGATTGTTGTTAAAATGTTTCAAAGTAGAAAAGAGAGACTAATCTTTAAGATACCTGATGTTTAAGCTCTACAAAATCCTAAAATCTCACTACCTAAATATTTCTCTAATTTTCCTCAATTATGTTCAGTTGTTTGGATTGCTTATAGTTTCAATGACTTGTATTATTGGGGATTTTTTGGGGGTGGGGGGAGCTTGGAGTGGAGAATTTTTCATTTAAAAATCAGATTAAGTAGTCACTATACCTGATTTGAATAACCAAACCAGAAATTTCCAAAAAGTGCAAGAAATAAGACCTGTGTGTATAATGTGAGTTCTTTCTTTTCAATTTTAGAATCAACATTGTCCTATGTTAGGCAGCTGGAGGCAAGAGTAAGACAGCTGGAGGAAGAAAATCGCATGCTGCCCCAGGTGGGTGACTTCTAGAAGCTCATAGCTAGTCAGTGACATTTGAGTTGTAGCATTTTATTTTGAATTTAAAATCTCAATGCATTTTCTCCTTTAAATGATCGAAATCATTTTGTAAATAGCCATCCATCAACATAGATTTCCATTATGGCCGTCATGGTTTTCAGAGTGTTATACTAATGGATGTATATATCTCATATCAGAACGTAAAGTAATTTTGGGAGAAAAAGAAAAAAGAGAAAATGAAGTAAAAGATACTTCCATAGTGCTGCCAGATACAATATTTATTTCACGTAGTTGGTGAACATAAGAATTCAAAACTTAAAAACATATTATGACCTAGGGAACATTGTAGATGGTTTGAAGAGTTCATATTTTAATTCAGTTAATACTTTCTAATTTTTTTAGTGCAACAAAGCTTTGCCAGTACATGACATGTTTTCTATGGGGGTTTCATTTCTCTTTCCTGACAAATGTATAGGAGCAAATTTTCTAGAATTTAATGCCTTTACCATATATTTTACTTAAAAAATTACTTCAGTAACTTAATATCTTATAAAAGATAACATTGGTCTTTTGAGATGGTGGTTCTTAGAAAATATTTGTTGAGTCAAAAACTACTGGGTCTATGTTAGTTTTCTTTATAGACTTATACACGGTAATTTTTTAATACTTACAAAGGGAGGGGTTTTTTAGCAAATAACCTGCATCATTATTTCTATAGTCTGGTGATTATTCCTGTCTTATAAGCCACCATAAGAAAATTAAGTCAAAAAAAGTAAGAAGCAGTAGTTTAAGTGAAAAGACAGTGCATTTAACTCAGAAGAAGGTATACAAACATTAATACAAAGATTCTTTACAAAGACATTTTAAATCTTTTTAATTTCTTTGGAACTACTTTTGTATATTACTAATTATTTGAGCTGCAAGAATACATTTCTCTTCACTGGCTAGTCATCTGGCTAAACCTCATGAGCTTAAACTAAATGACTCTATCTCTTCTCACATTGTATGTATGTCAAAACTCATTATGACAGAAAAGATTATTTGCATTATAAAAATAAGTATTGTGTGTATTTTTCTTAACTTAATGTGCATTTAAATTTTTTTCTTACAATTATTTTTTTTTATACTAGATTCAATGTATGGCTGTGCTAGGACACTTAACTGAAAACGTCTGACATTTTCTCAGTTCCAAGCAATTTAAGAAAATATAATTTTATTTATTATGAAAAATAGGCATGGCTGGGAATATCAAAAAGAAGAAAGAGGGAAAAGCCATTTATTAGAGTCTCTCTGAAAAAGAATTAAGAATGGCATCAAACGTGGACAAGCTAGCCTAGCATGTGCAATATCCTATTGAAAAATCAGCAAGACAGCAAATGTAAAAATGACGATAAGATCTTTTTCATCTGTAAATAGTATGTTATATGTCTTAGATGGAAACTAGGAATATTCAGCTAGCTCATCTGTGTTATTTAAATAGTCGAATAAGTATTCAATTACATGTTTTAGCACAGCGGGTAGGGCGTCTGCCTTGCACGCAGCCAACATGGCCGACCTGAGTTCGATTCCTCCGCCCCTCTTGGAGAGCCCGGCAAGCTACCAGGAGTATTCGATATGCCAGACACAGTAACAACAAAGTCTCCAATGGAGACGTTACTGGGTCCGCTCGATGTTTTAAAAAGCGGTTCTTTTTTACTCTCAAGAAAAAAGATTTTTTTGTTCTTTATAAAAAATTCTAGGATAGAGCATTTTTTCTGAATCATACAGATTAATGGTATAGATGCACCACTACCTGCATTTCATTAAGAATAAAAAAAAAGATATCAACAATACCATTGCCAGATTCTTGCTGTTTCAGAGATTTAGAATGGAAGGATGATTTTTTAATAGTGTTAGTGAATAGCCATTTGCATATCTAAAGTAGTGCAAAAAATATATAGTGAATTAAAAAATAGTGCATAGCTATTTACATATCCAAGGTGCTTTAGTGCATAGAAGATCATTTTCGAAAATATTTATTGACATAGGCAAAATATAGTCGATCTCAGTTTAAAAGATTTTCTGTTAAATTTTTATATTTGAGTATTATGTTCATTTAGAAACACTTGTTATAAATGTATAAATACAAACTGAAATGAACATAGAGAGAAGATGGGACACATTGAAGAAAAACTATAAATGGATTCTGAAAAGTTGAGAATTGTATAAAGGGAATTCTTGTGGAAGGCTAAGGCTTGAATTCAATGCAGATATTTAACTTTTACTTAGGTGCTTTTCACATAATCACAAATAATTTTGATATTTTTATGTTAAAAATGCTTTTGACTGCATGTTATTAGCAGATTTTCAAGGTCAATTCAGTGTGACAATCTGACATCTCTGCATAAATTAGTGTTGATATCTGAACGCTTGATTTTTAATTTTGAGAGCTTGCTTACTCTGCTTACTGATTAGAAAGTACTCTATTACTCCTGTTTATAAAAATATACTCACTTGTCCTTGGATAAATAGAAATTATAATGTAGTTGGTAAATTCCAATACTAAGTACATCAGTTATCTTTGGTGACTGTGTTCTGGTCCTTTGTTGTTAAATTTAGATTTAATACTTTAATGCTTTAATATAAAGTATTGGGCAGAGAGGCTGTCATATGGGTCACAGCTGACCATGCTCCTGGGCTACTTCCAACTTTGCTCAGTGTCACTCCTAGAGGTGCTGGGGAATCACACGCAGTGCCAATGGCATCCAAATTAAGCACCTTACTACCTGTACTATCTTCCTGGCCTGACACAGCATTTTTTGGGAGAAGGAATTTCCTAAATGCCTAAATTAAGTTCCCTCCTAGTTCTTAGTCAGCTCAAGTGTAAGTAAATCTTGTAAATAAATCTTAACAGCTATGTGAAACTACCAAGTATGAAGGGTTTTTGTTCAAGAACAGAGAGACAAATGCATGTCTTAGAACATACATGCCTTCTGTGGCAAAGAGGAGACTATAAGAGTTTCTGAAAGCATCAATACAAAAGGCACAGCAGATCCTCACCCAGTGAGCAATGAGAGTTCTACCATGATCTCCGTGATACCCTACAAGGATCACTTAGCTCTAATTCAACTTAATTTGTGAACACTACATTTCAAAAGTGTCTTGGTCCAGAGAAATAGTGCAGTAGGTAAGGTGCCACATATTGTCCCCAGAGAGCTGCCAGGAGTAAGCTCTGAGCACCACCAGGTGTAGCCCAAAATACAAAAATTAAACAAGGAACAGTCTCATTACTTTCAGAAAATGTAGTATTATTTGCAAAGGAAATGTCTCTCTGTGGGGCTGGAGCGATAGCAGAGTGGGTAGGAGTTTGCCTTGCATGCGACAGACCCAGGTTCAATTCCCAGCATCCCATATGGTCCCCCTAGCACCGCCAGGAATGATTCCTGAGTACAGAGTCAGGAGTAACCCCTGAGCATTGCTGGGTGTGACCCAAAAAGCAAAAAAAAAAAAAAAAAAAAAAAAAAAAAACTCTCCTTTTATTTTTGCTGAAGAATATGGAAAAAAATTAACATTAAATTGACCCTTTTTTTTCTTTTTGAGATTAACCCTTTTAAACAGATTAAGAATACAATGCTAAAAAAATAAAGAATACAATGCTACATATAAATGTAGATTGGCTCCTATAATTTTTTCATCTAGCATAAATGAAATTTTATATATATTGGTTGACAACTCTCTCTACCGCAAGCCCCTAATAACCACCATTCTATTCTTTGTTTCTATGAGTTTAACTATTTTAGATATTACTGGGATCGTGCAGTATTGTCCTTTTTTGACATGCTCATTTCTGTGTATGTATCCAAAAGACTGAAATAAGAACTTCAGAGAAGTAGATATCAGTTCTCAGGCTCATACACTATCACAATATCCAAGATGTGAAAGCAACCTACATGCTCATTAACAAATGAATGAATTTTTAAAAGTGCTGTATATGAAAACAGTGAAATATTAGAAAAGATAAGAGAAAGCAAACCTTGAATTGGGAGATAGTTTAAAGATGTTTCCTGCATGGATACATGCCTCAATCCTGTGCATTGTGAGGACACCTGATTATTGCCATGTGTAACCTCAGTAGTCCCCAGCCTCACTCCCAAGCATCGTCAGGCTGGAGCACCAAAATCAAATCAGTCAAGTCTGCATAGGCCCCTCCCTGCTCCACCAATATCACTGGGGAATCTCGCCCCCACCTGACCCCTACCCACCCCTGCTTAAAGAAGGAAATCTTATAATATGCAACAACATAGGTGATCTTTGGTATTGCTTTTTTTTTTGAAAGTTGGTATAAATTATAAGGAACACCTAAACTTTTCTGTTGAATGTGAACTGATGTGAACACTTTTTGCAGGTTACATTGTAAGATATTTTATATTACATTGTGTATAATTTCTCATAATACACATAATGCTAAAACTTGTTCTGACTGGTCCATTCAGCTCCACTGTGTACAAATTTGAAGTTACATGAACTCTAAATAAACACTAGTGTTATTTAAATAAATGTAGCTCCATATTAAATTTGATGATAGTCACCCATTCATAATGACATAAGTAGATATTTACAAATCAAAGAACTAAATATGGTATAAAGTTATGCTTTTAGCATAGGAGCTTTTAGATCCAAATTCAAAGGGACACACCACATTTTATTTATTTATATTTACATGTAAACACAATGCAGACTTTCCTTGGATAGAGTCATAAGTTTTCATAGCTTAATAGAACCTTTCGTGCCAGTGGGATAATTCCTTCTTTTTATAAAAGCATTTAAGCTTAGTCCTTTTTCTGAAAAGGACTATATATAAAGATATGGTGTATAGTCCTGTTCAAACAATTAATGAAGTATATATTCAGGTCAAGACGTTGAATTCGTTCGTGTTCTTCCAGCATACAAACAGAATCATTTATATCATTTATGGTATAAATCATTTATACCATTAATCATTTATACCATTTTTGTAG